TTTTTGAATGCAGCCACACGGACACCTCAGACTCGGATCTGAAGTTTTTCCATTACCTAGGTAGGTATGTCAGCTATTATAATACTTGGCCTGAAGCTTCCTACCCTACAATACTGCCTTTAAAATGGTGTCGAACCATATTTACGTGTGTTTGGATGTATCCCGGAGACAGCCAGCGTCTGACTCAAACGACAACAATCACAAATACACGTGTTGGTTGTTTGATAGAATCCCGACGCATGAGGGCTGCTCCCGGTAGTTGAAGAAGTTCTTAGAAGAGCAGTGACATTCCACCTGCCCCTCTATAGCACTTCAATTCCACTTTGATATGACATAAGAGCTGATTCTATTAACGACCGAGTCAACATGCTGCTTGTTTTCAGGTGAGCTTACGATTCACCAACCAGTGAACCTTCTTAAACCATGTTGAGACATTTATACTGTTGCAGTGCACCCACACCGTTCAAAGATTGTATCACGTCTGCCCGCCCATTAGATGAATTATATCAAGAGAACCATCACGTCAAATGCTACCACGCTTGCTGCAGGTTGATACAGCGTTTCTCGTGGTGCATTGGCAGCTACTGCAGGTACTGACTGAAGATGGCACACTCCATCCTCTTGAGGCATAGTGCTGTGGCCTCGGTTCAGACGACCAACAGGGATTACAACATTGCATCACACGTAATGGTCAGTGATGTGGCTTTTGAAGAGGCCTGGGGAATGTTGAGATATCCCGTCATGTATTCACAACTGACGGTATAGTTTACCCAACAGTACTTGCAGGTATCCGCCAACTTGGACCAGAGCCATGACAATGGCTCATATATGGCCAACTCGTCGACTGCGAACGGAGAAGAGAATCATGTCATGTGAACATGAAATAATGTCCGATGGAACTTAAACCTGTAGGACTTCACATGGATCCGGCTGTTGCAATTTATATCTTAACAAGGCGATTAGTTCATACATGGCGGACACGTAATCGCAAACTAAGAGAACGCTGCTGTTCGTATCGACTCCCGAGCTATGCGCTGTCTCGAGACTTAACTTAATACAGACAGGCATGATTCCAACCAGTGCTGGTCGTATGAGTTGTACAAAATTTAGAGCGATCGTCAGTTACTAAGGGTATCCTATCGGGGAGCGGATGATAGGTACCTGGCCCGGATCGTCGAGAACTTGAACAATCCCAACTTGTTACAAGGTTGGCCCCTGGCATTGCAGGAATTGCCTCTGTAATAGCTTCTGCCAACGAGAATTCAGAGCAATTGAGGACCCAGGGTCTCATATTGCTTCTATTTATGATTATTTGTATGTCCTACAACATCAAAGCCTATTGTTATGTTGTTGTTGGCTCTTTACCGCTCCGAGTTTGTCATTGAGATGAGTGAGCGGTAGTTAAATGGCAAGAATTGAACGGACTTCGAAACGTCGCTAACCGCCCCCAAAGTTGCGTCTTCCAAACCAGCTACCTGCGGCTCGTCCTCCGTGTCTCGGGTTAAAGCAATTGGCCAGTACTAGGGGCATGAAGCTAATGAAAGTAACCGTTGTCTTGCTCCAATCCTTGGGGAGACAAGAATGGCTGGTGGAACTTGGAAGCCCTCTCACGACTTGCATATCTTGGCCCCTCCTTCGAGGATGTAGAAGCAAACTATCAGAATATTATTAGAAGCCTAGTATGCAGCCTAGGGGAGGAAAGAAAACTCAGGACCTTGATCCTGAATGATATAAAGACCTAAGTAAATTTGCATAAATTTAGGTTACGTTTACTAAGTTTAGGGTATCTTTTGCTGAGTTTATTTTAACACCCTGTATCAAGGTCTGGTGTTTTCTTGCTCCTCGAGGGCAGCTTTGCTGGTTTTGCGCTTGATTTGATATGTGTTTTGTTGAATGCTGGAAGTCTTTTGCTTCCCTGAGTACCAAGGCAAAGGTTGAGAAGTAGCAAATACAGATGCTGGTACAGGAAGCTAACCAATAACCAGATCGAGGCCCCTTACGGAATGAGGGAGACGCCGTGCGAGCACTCAAGGAAACAACCCAGCAGCTGTAAGCATTGGATGCAAGAACCCAGCATGATGAATGGCCGATGAGGGTACAAGTTCATTATTGTGCCCCATCATGACCAAGCTGTAACGCCCAGGTACTGAATTAATACTGGGCGCAATATTGCGGTGCCTTGCTGATGCCCCGCACATAAAAATTTCTTCGACTTCAGATGATGAAGCACCTACAGCAAGATATATTAGATATACCGGTATGTCGACTCGGAGCATACGAAAACAGCGGTTAAGAGAGACTGCGTCGGAGCCAACATTGCCCAGCCACGGCTTTGGTAAATCACCGATGCTTGACTCCCATTAAGACCTGCAAAATCGTCGGCAATCTCCACCAGCCACGAGCGTTCTGACCCACGAGGACGGGGCAGTTGAGCTTGGAGTCGAGCTTGTGCCTGTGCTAGTCTCAACTCGGGGGAGACAGTTGCTTGAGATTGGCCAAGGGCTGGCTAGTTTACCCAAACTTTGATCTCTAGCTTCTCCTGAATGTTCCCGCCCGGCTTTGAGAACAAACTCCACTCAGTCAGGAATCAAGATGCATTCGATTCCACTCACACTTGATCGTGATGAACCTGCGACAGGAACGTTCAATCTGTTACTGGTCAGCAGGTATATATCAGGGGGTATGGCAGCGTGGATACAGCTGCAAATTATGTATCTGACTGGGGGTGGTGGGGTGGTTATCAAATACAAACAGTGTTGCAGTGCACGATGAGCAAGATACATACAGATCGATTAATTTTTCACGATAACATGGTTTGTTAAGCGCTTGGCCATGATTGGGGTCTAGTTAATAACATTCCCAGATCAACGAGTCATTGGGGTGACATGATGCACCGGAGACTGACGTTAGTTATCCAAGTTACAAAACCTGAAGACGTGATTCATATAAGTTTTCTAGTGCGAGTATGTGCAACGAGTCCGGAGCAGAGCAAACCATACGTGTGATTAACAGTAGAGGCTAACAAGCGGCCACCGGCAGTAGAGTGCAGCCATGATATGTGATTGCTTTCATTGAAGGCTGTTTGTCAACAATGGGTGATTGATTCGATTGGAAACGGCTGGGTTGAGTCTGTAACCAACATCTGCCCCACACTATTGTCTGTCTATTCATTTATTCATTCTCAAATATCCTCACCTTCTGCAGCCACCATGTGTCATAATCAGAGCTCGTCATCCAGTGCAAGCGACAAAAATAAGGTGACATTAGCCACTTGCGGTCCATACGCCATTCACCCCGCGTCGTCATCCTGTGAAGCATCCATTTGAGCACAACGTTGATTGCGAGGCGCTCAGGGGAAGAAAAGATGCAGTGATACCATCTGGCCCTCCAACCATACCGTTGGTCCAACCACCAAGTGCTGGCAAGATGCTTTCACACTGTCGAGTCGCGCCAACGGCCCGAGGGACAAGAGATGGCGTTGCAACGACGGTGGGGGACGTTGGATGAGCTTGGAAAAGGGACGCAAGTTAACGGGAGTTGGGTTGGGTATCAGCACCAGCTAAATGCCAAGGTACTTCTGCATGAGTTGTCTGCCCCGCTGATCGCATGTACCTTATCCCAATATGCTGGGGTCCAGGGTCCAAGCCATTTCTTTGGTTCCTTGCCTATCAGAAACCCAATTAGAATCATTACGTCTGTATCAATGTGAGGGTTTCCAGGGAATTTTACGGAGGACACTGGATCACTTGTAGGAAGGTTTTGAGGTCGGATTGAATAGGAAAGAAAGCCTTATCAGGCAAATGTTCACAGCTGTCTGCTACCTTACCAAGCATTCTCAGGCATTCAAGGGCCTTTCATTTTGAAGCATGGGCCACTGATGTCTTGTTTCTAAACAACCTCGCTAATCAAGACCCCAATTCCAGTCGTTTGAACAATTCATCATCAGAAAGATCCGTTCTCAGCAAGACTCTGCGACCGTGTTACCCCCGCAGGACTCCTGATAATCGTCAGCATCACAGTAGAGGAGTCCGGAAACACTAACACAACCCGTGCCATGTGCTGCACCGCACTGCTCTCTGGCTCTGCACTGCACTACGAGGCTGCCCCATCGACCGTTTGTATCACAATTCTTAAATTCAAGGGTCTCCATGCTACAGTGTAATATCTTATCCCACAGCCCAATCCACCTCCCGCATTCCAGGTCATCTCACTCACCCTTCTTGTCGTCAAGTTCCCCTTGATTTGAGGAATACGACACAGTGCGTGTATAATTGTACCTTATGTAGGTTGTCGTCCTGTTCTCATTGTTTCCCATCCTCTCTTCTTATGTACTTGTCTTCCCGAACTTGATCTCCCCAACCCACTTATCCTGTTATCCCCCGAACAGCAGCTTACCCTTTTTTCCTTTTATGAAGTCACCGGGCAGGATTCCCAGGAGAGGAAACGCAGAAGCAAAGGCAACACGAAACAGAGACGAAGCAAGGCAAAGCAAGTATTTTAATCCCACTTGCAGGACCGCCATCACCAATTCAGCATCGCCACCCGGGTCAAACAACACACCACAAAATATCAATACCCCCCGCGTTGCACTGCGTTGTGCATCCAATCCCCAGTCCCAGTCCCCCCCGTCAAACTCCTCCTATTGTTTGGCTTCGTTTGTTCCCTCTGGTCTTGCTTGATTCTGAAAGCCCAAGGGCCTACTGGTATCTCTCTATCTATCTCTTGAGTTAAGCCAGACCTGCACGGCACGGCACTGCGCATCTCTTCTGATTCCCCTCCCCTTCTCATTTTCCCTGCACACACACCCTGTGACTTGATACCTGTTCTGTTTCTGTCTAGTCAGTCTCCTCCACCTGCTCGCTCGGCCCATCACAAAAAAAAACCCCGTACCTAACAGCAGCAGCCCGCCGTCCCCTCTAAGGCCTTTTTTTTTAGCCCCAAAGGGCCCCCCAACCCAACTGCCCTCAGTTGACAGGCTGCTTCCTGCTTGCCGCTGGATCATGGACGGCCCCGGATATACCTCTGCGTCGTCTGCGTCTGCTCATACCGCAACTTCACATCGTCGCAAGCTCATTAAGAAACCTCCCACTTACGCCTACGCTCGCTCCTCATCTGGCTTCGATGGTGGTGCCTTCGACGCCCAGTCCCTCGAGAGCAAACGCAGTTCCCAGAGTCTGAGAAGAGCCCCCAGCGCTCCCCCAGCCCGCTCAAACCCCGCGACCGTGTCCGACTGGCAAGACTCTGATCGATCTCATCCTCAATTATCCGCCAACAGCAACACTCTAAGACCTGTCCCATCGCCCATCTCACCTCAGGGCGACTTCACCCCCGCTAATCACTGGGCGCCTGTCCCCCGTCATTCCGACCGTCTCTCCGATTCTCACCTCCGCCCTCTCAGTAAGACAGCGGTGCCTGACGACCTGATCGGCGCTCCTTTTGACGGCGCTGCTATTCTGAACCGCATTGAATCGATCAAAATTCCTAGTCCGAAGGCTGCTGCCCCTCGTCAATTTCCTCCCCAAATCGTCAAGGTGCCTACCGACTATAGGCTCGCTAGTCCTGCCCTACGAACTTCGACCAGCTTCTCCGCGATGGACTCGTCTCTGAACGAGAAGAGCCTTGGCCCAAGGGCTCCAACTGATGGGCCTTCGATCAACCCCAAGAGATATTCCGACGATGGCAAGGACCTCAAGCCCGCTGTTCTACGAAAGAAGTCAGGTTTTTCCGGTTTCATGAACAGTTTGGTAGGATCGCCCAAGAAGCCCGTTATCTCTGCACCCGAGAATCCCGTCCACGTTACTCATGTCGGCTATGATAGTTCCACAGGCCAGTTCACAGTCAGTTCTCCCGTCCCTTTGTTCTTATACTCGTTAACAGACTCTAGGGTTTGCCAAAAGAATGGCAGCGGCTTATCAACGAAAGCGGAATTCCTGAAAAGGAAAGGCGAGAAAACCCGCAAACTATGGTTGATATCTTGCAGTTCTACAAAGAGACCACGGAGAGGCCCCCAGAGGATCAGGTCCTTGAGAAATTTCATCATGCTGGTCAGTATGCCACCTCTCCGGCAACTGCAGCATCACCGGGCATGTACCCGTCAAACTATATGGGTATGTCACCGAACAATATTTCACCTACGAACCCCAGGTTTCCAACTGTCAATCATGAAGGAAGTTTTGAGAATCCCCGAGCACCACCGCCTGTTCCCCGAGGCCAGGTTGGTAAGGACCTGATGCCCAGTCGCCCAGCCCCGAAACCGCCCGTCAGCATGAGCAATCGGCATATGCCTCAAGGCGCATATTCGACCAAAGACTCAGGCATCGGTATGTCTCAGTCCGGCGACGAATCTTACGGCATGTCAAAGGATGCTGGCCCTATGCTCCCCGAAGAGCACCGATCGAGATCCAATTCGCGCGTCGCTGGACCTACATACGCCCCAACTGCACCGCAGCCCAACCCACAACTCGCCCAGGCGCAAGCCGCCGCTTATCAACAGCAACTTATGCAGCAGCAACAAGAGCAAGCCATGGCTCAGGCCCAAGCTGCCATGTCTGGCAGCATCGGTCGTGCTCCTAGTAAACGAACTCCTCATCCCCAGAACCCGAACATGCAAGCTGCTCCAGGTTACGGCCGTGCCCCCGAGTCTAATGGTGTACACAACGCTCCTCGTCAGCAGGCTCCTGGAGCAGCCGTGCCTGGGGCTAGGCCACGACACCGGGCTCGTCAGAGCGCAGGCCTTGACATCGTTGCTGCCCTCAAGCGCATCTGTAGCGAAGGCGACCCTCGAGACATATACCGAGGATTCAACAAAATCGGCCAGGGTGCATCTGGAGGTGTTTTCACCGGTCACGAGCGTGGCACGAACAGATTGGTGGCTATCAAGCAGATGAATCTCGAACAGCAACCTAAGAAGGACCTGATTATCAACGAGATTCTTGTCATGAAGGATAGTTCACATCCCAACATCGTCAACTTCATCGACAGTTATCTGTGTGGTGGCGAGCTGTGGGTCGTCATGGAGTTTATGGAGGGAGGCAGCCTTACGGATGTTGTCACCTTCAATATCATGTCTGAGGGGCAGATCGCTTCTGTGTGTCGCGAGACCCTTCTTGGTCTGCAACATCTGCATTCCAAGGGAGTCATTCACCGAGATATTAAGTCGGACAACATCTTGCTATCCTTGGAGGGCAAGATCAAGTTGAGTGAGTGACAAGTATTCCAGTGGCGGTGCAAGGCACAACTAACCGTAGCAGCCGATTTTGGATTCTGTGCGACCATCAATGAAGCCCAGAACAAGCGAACAACCATGGTGGGTACACCCTACTGGATGGCGCCCGAAGTCGTTACTAGGAAAGAGTACGGGCGCAAGGTTGACATTTGGTCTCTGGGTATCATGGCTATCGAAATGATAGAAGGCGAGCCACCATACCTGACGGAATCCCCCCTGCGTGCGCTTTGGTTGATTGCAACCAACGGAACTCCTCACATTAAGAATGAACAGGATCTTTCTCCTGTGTTCAAGGACTTCCTCTACTTTGCACTCAAGGTCGATCCGGAGAAGCGGGCCAGTGCTCATGATCTGCTGAGGGTAAGTCTACGATATTACCGGTTAAATGATTCCACTGACCCTTTTTAGCATGAATTCATGAAGCAGTGTGTTGACCTAGGTCAACTATCGCCATTGGTGCGAGCCGCTCGAGAACAGAGGGCGCAAGAAAAGGCTCGCAAGGGGCAGTAGGTAAACCCCGGGAGAAGAGTTCCTCCTGCAGATCCCCCAGTGAGAAAAGAGAGACTCCGGCGACTGTTTCCGGCGTTTCTCAGACGATGATCGATGTATCTCCAAGTCGGTACAATGGTCTCGATTGACGACGTCCCCACGGGCACAATGCGTCCTTGGGTCACGATTCTGCATACCCAACTATCTAATGACGATTTTCTTCCACAAATTATTCAACTGTCATAGCAGGCCTTGCATCTTGAAGTTGGAATTGATACGATACCGCGTCAAGGAGTGGCTCGGATTATGTTGTGCGCATGAGGTCGCGAGTTCGACACATTGCAAGAAAAGAAAAACCCAAAAGGTGCCAGCAGGCGGACACCAAGATGACGCCTGGCAGCACATAGATATGACACGCTGGATATACCCCTGCATACGAATTGTTCTTGCACATCGAGTTCGCGCTCGAGGCTGGGTCTGTCACGATACTAGACCTGGCCATGTCTCCTCACCAGCTTTGAATCATAAAAAAATAGTTTGCTTCCTTATGTTGGTGCCCCGGCTTTTTGGAATGTGCTTGTGGTGATGATGCGAAATGGAGCTCTCAGTATTCAGGTGTCAGTCACTCTCTGTGTGACTATGTTTTAAACAGACCTAACCCTCAAAGCCAATCAATCTAACCAAACAAACAAAGCAAATGCTTTACCAAATACTCCAACGCAAAGACGACAATACAAAACAACAAAATCACTAGACCGGCCTGTGGCGACTATACTTCGTTTCTTCGATGGGCCCCGCCCTACAGGAACTTGCTCTTCTGAAACATGAGGCTGCCTTGCTCCCATTGTTGATAGAAGGGGCTGATATGCTTCCGGACTCTCGAACAACCTTCGCCCTCTCTGACAGCGGCGTGGCTTTCCATGCCCGTGGGTAGCCCGTTACCGAGCACAGCAACAGTGCCGAGGGCGGCAGGCTGAGCTTGGTGTTTGAGCTTGTCGTGGGAGTGTGAGGAGAATGGTGAGGAGAAGTGTATTGAGTTGCGTACGGAGGTGGCTGCAGCGCGGGCTGGGAGAAGGGTTTTCTTGATGAGTCGGTTGCGCAAGGACCGAGCGGCGCGGACCAGCGACATGGAGGGAGTGCAGAGTAGTTGCATGTTCGGAAATGATGTCAAGGCTTTTCTGGAGGTGGTGATATGAAGGATGAGCTGGTTATCTGAAGCTGAACCTGCACCTGATATTGGAATGTTGAGTAGACTATGGAAAAGATATCATGAACGAGTATGTGTTTTTGGTCTTCTTATTATAGGGAGAAAGGGAGAACAGGAAGAGAAGTTATAGACAGCAGATGATTAAGAGGCTTATAGTCCTTCCGAGTCATTGCATGAGTTAACCGTGGTCACTTCCCAAGACCCCCCTCCATCATGAGCCGGAAGACGATGCGGTCTGCCGGTGGCACCTCGGGGCCCTCTTTGATATGTAGGTGTATGTGTCTTGCACGAGATCCTTGGAACGTGGATGGACTTGGTTCGTTGAATCTGTAGTGCCGTTTCGCATGAGTCGTTGTTTGTCGAAAGGTTCAGCTCTTTACTCGGCTGTTTAGTAGTCTTGAGTATATCTGTTCAACTTCCACTAGGTATGGATGGTACAATAGGTAGGTATTTTTGTCTTGGTTCCTGCGTCCTCATGAGACATTTCTCTCCAATGTCTCTCCCATATCCATTGATTCAGGAGATTGACACTGGGCATGAGCTCGCGTCTCCTGTCCTCTTCTTTCATGTTAGTGTCGGCCCATATTCTCCACCGCCAGTTCATTAGCTGGCGAACCGAAAAATAAAAAAGGCTGGTCCGGATCTTCGACCCGGTTTTGATCGTCTCGAAAGATGCGAAAACAGAGCGGTGAGAATAACCTAGACCCAAATTATTGGCCCAAGCTGGATTGCCGTTTTGAACATGCAAGTGCCATCGTGATTGGCTGCTCGGAAACATGCGACGATTGATTGACATTGACGTGACGTGCGCGTGCATTGGTGGATTACTACGTATTAGGTAGACTTGGATCACTGCACTTTGCGTACCTAGCCAAAGTCACGATCTGCCTCAAGGGACAAGAAACTTTGGTTGTTAGCGCACGATAACTACCCATTAACCTTGTTTCACACCCGAAAGTCTAATCAAGCGAAGAGAGAGGATATTCGTTTATACAATCAATCACCAGAGGAAATAAGTGGTTCTTTTTTGTTGAGTTCATTCATTATATGCCAGCGGCTATTAAATTTAGATCCTCTGTCTGGATCTCCTCGCTCCGTGTCTAATACGGCAGATTCATCCTGCTCTATGTTATCCAGAGCTGATCTAGTTTTATCATCATACGTCTCTTTTCCCCCCCTTGACCCTTGCTCAATGCTCAAAAAATAGGTCACCAATTGTTTCCGGAACTCCAAACAAAGAAAAATCAAATCCTCTTTCAGGACCTTGCCGATCCAGCCATTTATTCGTAGAAACCGTTCTTCGCTAACCGTCCAAAAAAGGGCTCTGCTCGCTTAGTAGCATGTGTAGCCACCGTCGATGATGCAGTTGGAGCCAGTCATGAACTTGGAAGAGTCTGAGGCGAGGTAGATGCAAAGGCCGTTGAGCTCGTCAACGTTACCCAGTCGGTTCTGGGGTGTCAGGGACTTCCAGATCTTCTTCTGGGCGTCAAGAGCAGGAACTCGGTTGAGAGCAGTGTCCATGTAACCGGGAGAGATGCAGTTGACCCGGATGTCGTACTTGGCCCACTCAGCCGCAAGGGACTTGCCGAGTTGAATGACACCTGCCTTTGAGGCATTGTAGCAGCTCTGCTCCTGGGGGAAGTTGACGATGGAGCCAGACATGGAGGCGACGAGAATGATGCTGCCAGGCTTTCCAGCGGACATCATGGCACGGCCAACGGCCTGGGACATGAGGAAAGAGCCGGTAAGGTTGATGTCGATAAGGCGACGGAACATGGCAGGGTCGTAAGTCTCAGCCTTGATGTTGGAGTCGGCGATGCCGGCAGAGTTGATGAGAACATCAGGAGCACCATAGCGCTCGACAACCTCGTCGACAGCAGCGTTGATGGCAGCACCGTCGCGAACATCGACCTTGAAGAAGGAGACAGGTAGGCCAGTCTTGTCGTGAAGCTCAGCTGCGGCTTCGTCACCAAGCTCCTGGTTGGCGTCGAAGAGAACAATGTTCTTGGCACCAGCCTCAGCACAAGCACGAGCCATATGATTTCCGAGACCACGGGCAGCGCCAGTGAGGATGATGGTCTTGCCATAGACACTCATGTTGCGCATGGTGTGGGGGAGCTGCTCGAAGGTCTTGCGGGTGAGCGGCTGAACGATGTCGCTCTCGTTAGAAGGAGTACGAGGCTCGCTAGGAACTCGAGCAGCTGCCTCGGGGACGTTGACTGTGTGCTTGTCACCAGTACCCTGGCCAGCACTGTAGACTGTGACAGGAACCTCCTTCTCCCGGACAACGTTCTTCTTCAAGTTGGTGTCAATAACACGCTGCACGGGTGTGGCTGTGAAGCATCGCGAGTTCTTGGGGAGAGCAATGGCAGGGGCCCGAGTGGCACGGAGGATGTTTCGAGAAATGGAGCAAAAGGCCATTGTGAAGGTTGTAAGGTTAGGTTGGTGGTTGAGAATAGGTAGGATATGGGTATATAAGAACAGGAGTGATAGTGGGGGGAGAAGTGATTATATATTAGAAGGTCTTGTTCTTTTGGTGCAGACACCACAAGTGCTCAAGCGAGAGAATGGGTATAGCGGAGAAGATGAAGATTGTAAAAGAAGAGTTAAATAGATGAAGGAATCCTCTCGATATATAGTCGAATGGCTGTGGGTCCGAAAGTAAATCACAGATAGAGTGTGAAGTGTGTTGCTGAGGTGTAGGGAGTGCAGGCAGTGAGAGCAATGCAGAGAAAACTCTAGACCTGAGGTGAGCACGAAACTTTTTTTTTTTTTTTTTCGGAGTACCTTGTTGCAGAAATTGTATGGAGGGTCGCAGGGAAAGCTTTTACTTTGCTTGCCAGGAAGAAAGGCAAGGTAAAGGTAAAGGTAAAGGTAGACTAGGTGCAGAATTTAGTGTGGCGGTATGTCCGTGAGGAAGGCGAACGAATGGGTGTGGTGTGGTGTGGGTGTGGGTGTGGTGTTGCGAGGCCCTTGAGGTGGACTGTAAGCGATAAGGTACGGTGCAGTGCAGTGCAGTGCAGATGACTTCAGCTAAGGCTAGAATCAAGGGATCTGCTCTCGTTTGGCGGCTCTGGGGGCTTCTAGTGTTTGTTCAAGGAGGGTGGCAGCGGGCGCGGGGGCCTGGATTGAGAGAACAGTGGAACCGGGAGTAAGAGTGCAGGCAACCTAAGATAGAACAGTTGAGTTGGGTATGCAAAGTGCAGATCTCGCGGCAGGAAAACTCCGAAATGAAAGTCCAAGAGTAACGGGATGGACCTTTGGGCAGTGCAGTGCAGTGCAGTTAGGTTCTGTTTGCTTTGTTCAGGAAAGGTACGTTTCGCTTGTTCCAAGTTTAAGTGACTGCGGGAGGACCGGTGCTATTTTCGGGGCTCTTCAATAGCGACTCCAGAACGGCAATTCAGTTTTTAATGCTTCTGTTCGCTGTGTAGAGCTGATCTGAGATAGATGTATGTCCTGGATGTCTCGAACAACGGAGATTCGGGCTTGATCTTCGGATCCGGAATTGGAGGCAAGCTTGTTTGTTGGTGGCAAAATGCTACCTGTGTCTCTTTTCGAAGGTGGTGGTGCGGAGGTGTCGATGAAAACCTATAGTTAACTTCAATGTTAGTTGCCGTTGTCAATGAATTTGGCCACAGCGAAAAAGAACCAAGATCATTACGCGTGCAAGGCACAAGGATACGTTCATTGGGGATAACATACAGCTTCAGATGGACTTTTGATCGTAGCAAGAAACGATTCTGCGCGAAGCTAAAGTCGTGGAAAATGCGTATGTGTGATGAAAGGTGATGGGGAACTAGCTCCGACCGGCAAT